TAAAAATTGACATACATATACTAAAAAGGAATAGAACTACTAGTTTTTTTGAAAAAAATTTTCTATTTAGAGACTTAATCTCCCAATTAATGAAATTAAAAATAGAATAGTTTTTGACTTCTATACTTTTAAAGTTTGCATAGGTCTCTAGAGGCTCCGCACCGTAGTAATTTGACCTACATATTTACGCGATACAAAATTTTATGCTGGTTGTTCAATTTTAGCAGAACTTATGGAAGTACCCAACTTTGAACCTCTCAGCTCAGTATAGAGACATTTTCTGAAAATCAACCAGTAGAGTTTATCTCAATGAACAAAACTATTTGTAGATTTTCAAAATGTCTACCAGGTTGAAAGGTGTCAAAGTCAGGTGATTTATTGTATATTATTATTATATATATTTCTCTCCTAATAAATGAATGTGTGAATTTAAAAATATATAATGACATATTGTTCATATGAATTTAAAAACAATCTGACGAATTCAGATTAATATTAATATTAATTTTTTCCTTAAGATTTGTCATGCGATTAAGATCACTAGATTCCCAATAGTATATCTATAAAAATAATTTATAATATTAAAAATAAAATTCAATTAGTCGAAAAAAAAAAAATAATCAAAACAATTACCATCTGGTATAACAAGATCATTTTGTTTAGTGTGGTAAGCTAAAAAATAAAAGAAAAGAAATAAATTTCTTGAAAATATATATACAATAATAGCAATAAATGATACACGGTTTAGCGGTTATCAGACCGATTTAATCAGTAAATCCATTATATTGAGAGAATTTACTCTGTTAAATCGAGACTTTTGTCAGGCACCTGCTAAATCAACGTAGTAATAATAATAACAATTTTTACCTTCTTGTTGTTCTAATAAATAAACATCATTTTATAGGTAGTTAATAAATATTTAATAAATTAATAATAGGCCAATTAAATTTAAATAATTTATTAATTCATTCATACCTCGAGAAGCATTTTTTGGAGTAGGAAGATTTGAAAAATGATGATGTTTGCTGGTGAGATCAGTGAAATTAATAGTTACTGAATAATTTATATTTTTTCTATTATTATTAT